TAGTATATAGGAAAGTCACAGATTTCTGTGTGTTAGTTTTGTATCCTGCAACTTTGCTGTATTCCGATATCAGTTCTAGTAGTTTTAGAGTGGAGTCTTTAGGGTTTTTTATGTACAATATCATGTTATCTGCAAATAGTGACAGTTTAACTTCTTCTTTACCAATCTGGATTCCTTCTATTTCTTTGTTTTGTCTAATTGCCGTGGCTAGGACCTCCAGTACTATGTTGAATAACAGTGGGGAGAGTGGGCATCCCTGTCTTGTTCCCGATCGCAGAGGAAATGCTTTCAGCTTCTCGCTGCTCAGTATAATGTTGGCTGTGGGTTTATCATATATGGCCTTTATTATGTTGAGGTACTTGCCCTCTATACCCATTTTGCTGAGAGTTTTTAATCATGAATGGTTGTTGAATTTTTCAAATGCTTTTTCAGCATCTATGGAAATGATCATGTGGTTTTTGTCCTTGTTTTTGTTGATGTGTGGATGATGTTGATGGATTTTCGAATGTTGTACCATCCTTGCATCCCTGGGATGAATCCCACTTCGTCATGGTGAAAAATACATTTTTTTTTTGTATGCAAGAAAGATTCCAGAGGAGGGAAAGGACATTTTTTAATTAAGTGACTCACAACTAAAGTAGTCACAATGACATGAATGGCAATTTAACCTAATCTAGAAGGCTTTAAAATATGATAGTAACTATTCCAGGAGAAGTTTGTATAGTAGAATCTCACATCTCTCTCAAGACCTCACTCAGAGGCTTTAAATTATTAATTCAAACCCTACACACTCTGTACTCTACAGTACCAAAGAAGAGACAATTAATTTAGAGTGCTGTTTTTTTCCAGTTTCCAAATTTGTATAACTTAGGTTCATAAGTATCATTCACCTCAACCGTTCTGCTTGCTGTGAGGCAAATATATATAGATGACTGGAATGTAATCTGATCTTAGACACTGATTTGCAAAAGTGCTTAATTATAAAAGAAAACTTCTTGTATAACAGTGAATAAAATTATATTCTGATTTATGCAAGCCATAAGAAAAGAGATTAATAGCTTCCACAGTTTGAAATTAACTATGTGATACAAAGCTGCATTCTAATTTTGTAACTGGCAAGTGAGAATCATGAAAAACCCATCCTGTCCAGGAAATATCTTGTGGATGAGAGGAAGAGAAAGAGAAATCACTGAAAAATAATAGATAAAAATAAGCACCTTGACCATCTTTGAAGTTTAAGAGGACTATAGTGGCATTTTTCATTTACTTTGTTTTGGTAAAGGCCTAAAATATACTTGTCAGGTCTTGACAAACAATATGCTAGATGCTTTTAGACTTCTGCCTCAGGGGGAAGGAGACATTTGGAGAGTGAATTATAGACAAGAAAACATTTTTAAATACTAAAGCGTATCAAACTCTCCAAAAGTTTGCCTATGAGGGAACTTTTCCAGCCAGGCCATACAGCCAATGGTAACTTCTTTCTCTAAGTTCCTTTAAAAATGTGTTCTTTAAACCTTAACTCATATCTACATTTTCAATAATCTCTGTGTGAACCATGTAAGGTGCAATAGTAATTCCTCTGCTCAAAAAGTGTTTTTGCAGTGACTCATAGGATCACACACAATCATTTGTTGTTTGAGCAAGTTTTTTTGAAAAGATGTCTTAACATCCCCCTATACCAACTATTTTAGTAAATAAAGCAAAAGGGAAAAACAGATTGTGTTTTAGGTCCAGAAAATTTTGACACAATTAGATGGGTTTACAATGTTGGAATACATGTGAACATAGAACATTCTAAAATTTGATATACACGCATAGGTATTTGGAAGTATGAAGAAAACTAATCCATGTACATATTTTGGTTTTGGCATCAGTATTTTTTGTCCTTATTTTACCACATTTCAATTTGATGTACGCCAGAAATCCTTAAATGTGAATATTTTTCCTTGCCATATCAAATAACTTGGTAGTGATAAAAAGCAATATGAGCCCCTGAATCCAACTTATGTTTAGGAACATGTGGAATTGCTCAGCATATCCATGACAATTAAAAAAAAGTTGAAGCATCAGTCTTATACCCGAAGCTTACCTCTCAGCAAGAGTTTGCTGCTCATTGATGCCAACATTAAAAAGTACTGGATGCACATGAAGCAACTGCCCTTCTTTAATCTGTAGAGGCAATGACTCGAACATTCTTGCTGGAAGCTTCACCTCTACCACATAATGTTCACTGAAGGCAGTGGAGGACAAAAAGAAGATGCACTGCTTAATTCATTCATTTTTATGTCATTTTAGGTTCATTGGAAAGAAAAAGTAAGACAGCTAGAATATAGTACAGATTCAGGTTTTTGGCTGCTATCTGCTTATTTTCTGTTATTAATTACTACAATAATTATTTCATTCGCTTTACTATTCCATTACTTGGCACAAAAAAGTGTTTACATGTTTGATTTCTCTCCATTCTTCTGAGCTCCTTTACGAAGGGAAGAATGTTTAGTTCATTTTTGTACACCAGGGCCATGGGCATAAGAGCCTCATAATTATTTTCTTGATTTAGTTATATTTAAAACCCAATCAATCCTAAGATTGAGATTGGTAATTTAATGATGGATTTTTGAATATAGTGAAACTAATAAACTAAATCATATGTAACATTTTTTAGCATGGCTTGATTTTTTTATTATTATTAAATAATAATATATCCAATATATTTTGTGATAACCTGATGGAAATGTAATGGTTTCATTATTTAAGTTATAACCTCTGGAGGTTCTTGATCATTTTGCAACATGAGCATATCACAGAGACATTCTTTCATTGGAAATTTCCATTAAAAATGACCCCTAATGTGAGGGTTAAAAATCTGAATGAGGATTCACAAAATATGGTCAAGAATAGCTGCTTACATATTTTGGAACTTTGCATCTTTTGATGCAGTGTGAATTAAGTACTGAAATGTAGAGAGTTCTTCCCAGAATTTAGGAAAACCCATGTGTTTCCAGAACTATATAGTGTGCTGGGGTTGGGAAAAGAAGCACAGGGCAATCAATGAGTCTCTTTGTGGAAATCTTTTTGGAGTTTCCAAGTATAACTGAACATAGTCTGGATCACTGGCTCTGAGATATGTTTCTTACCTGAGCTTACAACCAGACAACCAGAAAATACCATCAGTCCAGCAAGCAGGGATGTTAGCACTCCCCTCAGATGGATGGACACATTTTGCTGTTTTACACTGCTCTCAGTGCCCTTTGCAATAGCTTGGCTAATAGAGGGCTGTTGTTTGTTTATTTCAAGTCTTTGAGGAATATGTGAAGAATCAATGAGTCAGTCCAAGTTTAAAGGTTGTTCTGAAGGTCAAGCATTATAGAATTTTTGATGACTTTTTGTCAACTCTATTAAAATATAATTAATATAAGGAAGTGTGTGCATTACGTGTTTAATTCAGAGTTTTGACAAATTTAAAGAGTTGTACAAACACAACCTTAATCCAGTTTCAAAGTATTTCCATTACCTTAAAAAAAATCTCTCATGTCTGTTTGAATTCAAACCTCAATCCCACTGTCCACCCCAGGAAATCACTGATCTGTTTTCTGTTTCTACAGATTCTACTTTTCTATGTAATAAATGCAACCAAATGATATACAGCCTTTTGTTTTTAGCTTTTCTCATTTAGCTTAATGACTTTGAAATCATCCACATTGTAGCATGATCAGGAGTCTGTTCTTTCTTATTGCCAAGTAATGTTCTACTGTACAGATATACCACTTGTTCTCTATCATTCACAAGCTGATAGATACTTGAATTACCTCACAATTTTGGCTATTATGAATAATGCTGCTATGAACATTCAGACATTAGTTTCTGTGTGGACATATGGTTTCATTTTCTCTTGGGTATATACCTAAGAGCCAGTTTTAGCTTTAACTTTTTCACAAACTGCCAAACTGTTTCCAAAGAGGGAGGACCACTTCACGTCCCCACCAGCAATGTATGAGGTTTCCAGGCTTTCCATATCCTTACCAATACTTCTTATTATCTGACTTTGATTATGACGATTGAAGTGTAAGTTAAAGTGGTATCTAATTATGGTTTTAAGTTTCATTCTCCTAATGACTAATGATGTTGAGTATGTTTCATATGCATCTTATTTGACAAAAGATCTGTTTGAATCCTTTGCCCATTTTTATATTCGTTTTTTTGTCTCATTAATACTGAATTGTAAGATTTCTTTATATATTTTGGGTAGAAGTCCCTTATCAGATATATGATTTGTATATATTTGTTCCAATCTATAGCTTGTATTTTCATGTCCTTAGTGATATTTGTGATGCTTAAAATTTATTATTTTGATTAAATCCTATTTATCAAGATCTTTATTTTTTGAATCTAGATTTTTGGGTCATATTTAAGAACTTTACCTAATACAACTTAGACAAATATTTTCTCCTGTAAGTTTCATAGTTTTAGTTCCCTTTTTAGACCTATGATCCATTGTGAGTTACTTTTTGCATATGGGGCATATTGAGACTCAAAATTCTTGCTTCTGCATATGTATAACCAAATGTCACAGCAACATTTTTTGAAAAATTCTTCATTGAATTGCTTTGGCACCTCTGTTCTCTAAATCACTACTGTTTCTAACAGCTTTTCAGGAGTACATTTTTTTTCTGCCTTCTAATCCAAATCAAGTCAGCCTTCTCTGGTAGTGAAGCTTCTGGTCCCCCTGGCCTGCCTCACCCATGGCAAGCTGTGTTGGCAGAGCTGGGGTTAATGGAAGCAATCCTTGGCAAAAATGCCACAGACTCCAACTGTTTTATCCAATGTTCACTAGTTTTTCATTAATAAATACTTCTAAATTTAAAAGTGGTTGTTTCAGAAAATTTTGTCTAACTGCAATGTTGCTTTCTGGAGAGAGGATTTGCCAAGCTGCTCACTTTGCCACTCTAGAAGTCTCTCTCCCATTTGTATGATAACTTTTGAATAGAGCCTGAGGAACTCCCTCAGAAGCACCTGCACTCTGCCTAGACTAATGGCCTGGTAAGCTCCCTCCCCTTATAAGTTGTGGTAAAAGTGTGTTTCCCACTTCTGCTAATAATCTTCATAGTAATAGAGTGGTACTGTTTCTCAGGTGTGTGTTTGAGCAATTTTATTCCTCTTTCTTCCAGTGAATGGTAAATTAAGCATTAGTTTGCAGATGAAATGTTTAACTTTATGAGGATTTATGTTTCTTTCTGTACAAGGAACAGTTGCCTTTCATTCAACCATGTATCTCTGAGCCTCCTTCAAACAAAATTTAAAGTAATTATCACACATCTACTATGGACAAGAGAACAGTTTAGTTTGAAATTTTATACTTAATATCTTAATATTAATTTATACTTAATATCCATATCTCTCTGGAATGAAAAGGACTCTCTCTTTAGCACATTCATTTTTTTTTTCAGTGTTATCTGAGAATGTTTCAAATTTCAAATACCCTCATGCAGCATTTAACCAGAATGGTTAAAATGTAGAGAACTTCTCACTGAAATGATTTACCACAGTACATAATTCTTCTGTTGGAGATCTATTATAAACATTATCATTTCTCTTAATTATTTCTGATATTTTGTCTATCATATTGACCTTTGAAGCTATTTACTTAAGACCATTCTTGGAAATTGTAGACTGGCAGTGAATTGTTAAAAATAATTAAGAAAAATGGTGCTATATGCCCCTGACACAGAAAATCATCTTTTCTAAAATGTTGCTGCTTTTAGCAGAATTTAACATAAAGTCATCTCAAGAATTATGATGCTATTAACTAAATGATTTCAGCAAAAGTAAAAACATTCAGAGGAGCTTTGGACTAGACAGTAATAGAGACAAAAATGTTCTTCCCATGACTGCTATGATTCTGAATTCTTCATATTTCAAGGGAGAGCTAATTACCATACTTAGCTCACTACAGTACAATTTACAAACATTGATGAGATTTCTAGGAATTTTTCAAGATCTTCCCCTAGTATGTCATCTACTTTTTTCCCTCACCAAAAAGGAAAAGAGAATAAAACAAAAGTTTTGAAACCAAACCTTAACTCTCCTTGGCTACCTTGTCAGGAATAAACACAATTATCTTGCTCTTTACAAAGAAAGCTTGGTCATTTGGAAGTGGGCACCACTTACCGCCTCCCTGTTATAACTGGCAAGACATCACTGGACTTGGCTTCAATTATTTTAAATGTGACTTTCTTCAAATCTGAAATGCCAACAGCCATGTCCTCTAGCATTCCGATTTCGTCACCTAAACAAGGGAAAAGGAGTGTGGTTACAAACATACTATTTAAAGAAAATGTCATTTGGTACTACACCTCCCTGCTGGAATCTGTTCGAGCGTTTTAGTGAATGAGTTTCTGAAAGCAGTGAAACCATTCTAAACGCTTTTCCTCAGAGGCTGAAGGTTTTCACCAGTGAAATAAGAACCGTTTCAATGGACTCCAGCAGTCCACATGCCTTTGGAGGCAAGGAAGAGTATATACATTTGCTGGAAGGCTAGAGAGACATTTTAACTTCTTTAAAAAACAGTATCGTTCAGATCTCTTTTCATTAGTAGGACTGATATTTCACATCTAAAATTAACAGAGATGCTGAATTGAAGATCACTGACCCAGACTCCTGTTAGTTTTGTATCTCAATATTCTGCCAAATAAAGCTTAAGAAGGAGATAATTCACTAAGATTCTAAATCAGCACTGGCCAACAGAAACATAATGCACATCACATATATACTTTAAAATTTCCTGATAGTTATATTTTCAGAAGAGTAAAATGTAAAAAAGGTGATACTGATTTTAATAATGATATATTTTTACTTTAACCCAATATGTACAAAATATAACTTTAGCCATAAGTCAATGTAAAGTCATTAACTATTAATTATTAATATAAAACTATTTTTTTACTAGTCTTCTAAATCTGTGTGTACATACAGTACATATTGATTTGGACTAGACACATTTCAAGTATTCAATAGCCACACCAGACTATGTATTGAATAACACAGTTCTAGACATTAGAGAGTTGAGGCTTTAAAAATCTAGTCATTGACTATGTTGGCAAAGAGGCTTTTACATTAAAAAAGGCAGATTGCTGCTCAAGGATCCACTACGAAATAATCTATAATTCCATTTTCAAAATATAAGGGGGGAAAAGGTATAGTTATAAGATGGATGGAAGCAAAGAACTTAATGTTACAGCATTTCTGTAATGCTTTATACAGTAAAGGTTTACTTCTTTTTTTATGTTTAATTGAAGAACCCATAGCTCAAATATCCTTGTGAACAGGAATATGATTTTAACATGAACTAAGGCAATACTTACTATATGTACTTAGCAGTCCTTCATATTGTACTACTAATCCCACTGTGTGAAGCTGCTGTAGGAAACCAGGGTCATGCAGACTTGTGTGCAATTTGATGATAAAACCACAAACCAATCCAGCTAGCTAAAAAAATAAATCATTGAAGAAATTTACTGGGGTCAGCAAACTTTAATTGAAAAAGATTTAAGACTTCAGAGGCATCAAAGATTTAATTAAAAATTTTCAAGTATGTGTAACAAAAATTATATCCATTTTGGAACCAGTTGACAGTCTTTGATCTAAGAAGGCTTAGGGAAGGCAATTCCGGTAAGGGGAGGATTGCGGGGACTCAGGAGTTAGCTTGATAGTCTGCAAATTCTGCCTCTGCCATTTTTAGCAGTGAAACCATAAAAAGTTATTTGACACTCCAAATATTATTATTATTATTATTGCACATGCAGAATAGAAACAACAGTAGTTACTGAAAGAACATGATGAAGAAATATGTAAAAGGCAAAGCATACTACCTGACACAGAGTTCTGTTTGCCACACCCATGAAATAGCGGGGTCAGGCACAGTCTGGTTATAAGATTGCCTTTGCCTGGAATGTTTAGAGAGAAAGGTGGCTATCTTGTTCCCTCCATGTGTCTGTCTATAAGACTCAGTCATGGAAAGGGGTAGGAGGAGGCAAGGGAGGCCCCGAGCATAGCTGCTGTGCAGAGGTGGGTCTTGACATTATGGATAGGGTTGGTGTAACCCTGTCACACCTCCCATTCAGGCCTCACTGCTCAATAAACCTATTTTATAAGCAAACAAAAGAAGTAATTATGTGGCTCTGCCTGGGATTCATGGGGAGCTGTATAGAAAGGGGTTGCCAAGAGACCCCTTCTGCGAGTCCTAGCTGCCACCTATGGTGCAAGGCAGCTGTCCCTTTTCTTCTGCTGTGTGAGGTTAGGGACCCCAAAGCATACCATGACCACAGGATGGGTGACCCTTTCCTTCATGTGCTCTGCTCTGGAAAACAGAATGTACATTTCAGAGACATGGCCATCTCTTTGCAGAAATACCCAAGGCTCATAAACTGTTTCCCTTGGGCTCATATTTATTATAACTAAGAAAAACTGGGTACCAAAATTTTAAGGAAAAGATGCCTTAAAAAATAAAACCACCAGAAGAAGACCTCTAATATCAGCACGGGTAATATTTAATATCCCAGCCCGGGGCCGCACTCCCGAGAGGCACCTACTGCTTGGCTGAAGACGACGTCCCTCCTCAGCGTCAGCATCAGACTCTGGGGCAAGCTGTACGCGAGCTCCTGAAGGAGCACGAACGTCAGCGACTGCTTGGCCCTGCTCACCACTTCCTGCATGCAGTCCTTCAGCGTACAGACGAGGGGACACAACTGTTCATACCAGTCCTCTGCGGGGAGGCCGGGGGCAGAAACACAGCGGGGCAGGTGAAGGAAGGTCTTGGAAGACGCAACCAATCTAGTATTTTTTCAGTCAAATTACACATATCATTAAGAATTCACAAAAATTAGATTTCAAGATCTCCGATTCAGATCTCGCCTCTGAACTCCAGATGTCTGTGTTCAGCCCCCCACTGGACTCTCCACTTGGAGATATTGAACGTGCGCACAGTGGTGGGGCTCCTCCCTTCTCTGCTCCTCTCTGATGTGGGGTGCTGCCTGTATCGTTGGAGGGCGCCACCAAACTTGATTTCCTGGACTTCCACAGTCTTCACATTTACCTGGTCATAAAATTAGTTCCACCACTGTAATCATGCACCTAGAATCCACCTCCCCTTGACCTCTCCCATCGTCATGTACCAGTCTCCCTGGATTCCCTTCTCTCCCACACCCTGACTGGCCCCTCTTCCAGCACTCATATCCTACTCAGAATCCTTTCTCAGCGGTGCTCCTGGAGGGGCTCTCTAATCAGTTAGAATCCCATCTCTCACTCTCTTGCTTCCACACATACAATATTTTGAAAGAACTAAAGCATTCAGAATAAAGTCCAACAGTTTAAAAGATCCTCCATTTTCTGACCTCTGCGTAGCTGTCCAGTCTCATCCCTTGGAATGACTTCACTTGCAGCTTTGAATCCCCAAGCTGTTCCCCACACCTGTGTGGCTGTCTCACCTGTATCTTTACTAGGCCTGTCTCTAACCCAGGAGTGCCCTTCCTCTACTTATCTTACTGACTAACACTTTATCTTCTCTGCAGACTCATTCAGAATTTTTCTCCTCCAGGAATTCTTGATTGGTCCCCTCCCATGTACTAAAGCTTGAGTTGAGTTCATTTCTATTTGTGCCCAAAGCTCCTTACCCTTACTGTTCTCGAACTAGCCACACACTGTTCTGCAAGAAAGGGAGCTCATGAGGGGAAGGAATTATATTTTAAACACTGAATCTCTATAACCTAGCATAGTATCTAACATATAGCGGATATTGTTCAGTTTTAATTGAATGAGTAGTTACAATAAATGTAACAGTCTTTTTAGTTATAGGCAATTATGACAAAAATCAAGGTTTTGACAGTATTTGGAACTCAGATAGACTTTCCTCAAATCAGGGTATGAAACTGACAGACTTTCTTCAAATCAGGGTATGAAACTGACATCATCTGTGCTTTTTGTATGTCTAGATTTCTAACATGCTTTAGTTATGTAACTATGACTTTGGCATAGACTACAGAAACAAGTTACACTTCAGTTTATTTGGAAATGAAAGCCCTGAAGGTCAAATACCATGCATTCTAGACTGTGTGACACTCCATTAACATACAAATAAATTAAAAGTAGTAGGACAAATACAATTTAATAGAAATGAGTGCACACTGAAAAATTAATTATGAATTGCAATCTGAAATGATATGATCTTCTCGACAAGAAGTCTGAGCTTTGTCTGAGTTATGAGTGGTCAGTAATGAGTTAAGACCTTGAAAGAGTTATAGGGAATGATTGAAAGAGTCATAATCATTATTGTATCATATCTCATGTCACTTATTTACTTTATGGTATGGTATAATAAACTCGATGAAATAAAGCAAAATGGTTGAAAGGATAAATTAATGGCCCCAACTTAATAAAAAGATGTGCTCTTGTTAATACTCTATGTAAATGCTGATATGATGCTCTAATGCAGTATACATTAGGAACATTATGAGTTATTATTTTAAAATATTGTATAGTTAACTGTTATGATAGGAATAAAAACACTAGAGAAAGGGGAATTCAATGAAGGCCTATTATATCAGTAATCATTTAATAAAGGACTCCCTTGTGGGCAGCCTAAGATGAAATATGAACAATGGTTCAATTTAAATAAGCATCAGCTAACTATTGATTTTTATGTATTAGTATATGTAAAAGGGCAAATGGAGGTACATCAGACTCATTTTAAGGATAAAAGACACATCTATAGACACCAAAAAAAGGATATTCTATATTCCTGTGTTTTTTCTTATTTGCATTCTTGTATCTTCCATTTTCTCCCATTCTCTTATTTAATTATTATTCTTTGTGTGAATGTGTACACTGATACATACGCATACTAGGAAAGCAATTATTTCAATGAACTGACCCAGATATAGATCTTAAAAGATAACAGAGAGCAAAACTATTTTGTCTTGTGCTTAGGTCTGTAATCAATCAGCTTCTACTAAAGAATTCTCAAACATAAAATAAAATGGGTGCAGTAGGTGGCGCTGGTTTATCAGGGTGAAACAGAACTCCTTTGTCACTGCAGGTAACTGATTTCCATTTTTGGTACATTTGCATAGTTCCCACACAGTATGTACATATTGCTCAGGTACCCTGTATCACACTATCCCATGTCAAGTGGTCAGTAACTTACTTGGTCAAAAGCATAAGATGCTTTTTCTAGTTAGAAAATGGAAACTTAATTTGTGTATACCTTTTTCCCCTTGAAAGGCACTGGTGGCTAAAATTAAAAAACAAATATTGGTTTTTTGGAAGGTCTTTAAAAAAGAAAACCGCAGATTTCTTCTTTCACATCAGGACGTCTTCACCCACTTCTAACTCTATCTTTACACTTAATTTAACCAGTTGATTCTTACTAAAAAAATGCAATCAGAGAAAAAGAAAAAAGTCTGATTTCTAGTCCTACTACTTTAATACTAAAAATCTAAAAAAAGAGAAATACCTTAATATTCAAAACCTAGCAGTCTTGTTAGATACTTGTCTGATACTAATAATATTCCAATGTGTCCATTTATGAGAGATATGCTTTTCATAGCTAAAGTATAAGAAGAATGACAATATAAGAAAACATTCACTAAGAATATGAAAAATACAAGTTTGTGAGCAAGTAGAATGTCTTAAACAGAGTAGGAAGCTTGCCATGGAAAAGCATATGCAAGAAAGCTAAAATTACATTTTTTCTTGAAAAGAAACAATTGAAGTTCAGCAGATAAAGGAAAGCTACACTGGCAGATGCAAATTGCTATGACTACAGGCTTTGTTCGCCGTCAATATTCACTTAGTATAAATATCAGGTTCCGAAATAAACATAATGGGGTCTGACAGGCTGAAGAAAGGCTGAAGTCAGTCCACAAATGGCCTTCTTTTGCTCCAACGAGCATTCCAAATCATTCTCACAAAGGAACAGCAAGTGCCTTAGCTTTCTCTTTAAAATTAATGGGAAAAGAAAAAAGCTATAATTGTTGATGGTCTTGAGACCACTGTCATTTCTCCTCACCTTTCTGTCTCTGTACTTTATCATTTACATGGCATTTACTTTGTCCTCTTGGTAAAGCCATTTTCTGGCAGGGATGATGGTGATGTTCATTCTGCACAAAGGAAGAAATCCTGAAATGCTCACATCCCCTCTTCTGAGTTTAGTTTCCTCAAATTCAACTAAGATTTTATATAACACGCACACACACACGCACACACATGCACACACACTCTTTCTCTCATGATACACCCAGTGAATCTGGGTGGCTAAGGGCTCACCGCAATACAGTCACTGTACCAACATCTCTCCGGGAGCCGGCTGGCCCAGCAGGCGCTGACAGGCCCACAGCTTCAATTCTATCCCTCGGGCCCCTTTCAGTGGTGGAGAAAAATATGAAGAGAATGTTTCAGTGTCTCTATAGGAACTTGCTCAAACTTCTTAACCCGGATACCAACCAGCCAAGCCTTTCCTCAGGAGGACATAAAATGTGTGTGACTCAGTTGAGCTTTTCCTGGGCTTTGTGAAGTGCGTTGGAAGCCATCCGAGAGCCAGTTTTCCAGCCTGGTACTTGCTTCGGTAACGTCTTTGAGGGATGCTCGCTGAAGGATTCTCGGGACGACCGCGGGGTGCCTCCTGCCTTCCTCCACACACCACCCACTTCCTGCACGGAATGGTCCTGTCCTCTGAACTCAGTGGCTCTTATGTTACTCGAGGGAAAAACAGAAGAGCCGTGTGCCAGCCAAGTGCAGCAATGCCTGATGCTTCCACCCGGTTCTCTGGGCCCTTTCCTTCGCAGATGGCTGTTTTTCTTTGCTCATTTAAAATAATTAGCTCCGCTACAGGTTTGTCGTCATTATCATTCTTGTTATCACAACTTTCATACATAGAGTAAGAGAAAAGCTAAAAGCTGCAGACCCATTAAACTTTATACAAGGGGTAAGAGAAGAAATGAGCCCAGCTCTTAGGATCCACCTAAGCTAAGGAGGTGATGAACTGTGAAGCTAAGCAATTAGAACGGCTTCTAAGCAGCGTGATAAAATCCCCAAGATTGTGAGGACAGACACCAAATTCACAGCCCACAAAGCTTTTCTAAGACGCCCAGACCTCAGGTAGCAGAGAACTGGCAATTGATTTGTCGATGGAGGCTGGGGATGGGAGGAGAATTTCAATATACCTGCTCAGAGTGCTTGTTGCTTTTGAAGGGCCTTTGTCTTACATCCACTTCGATATGGCCACCTGTCTTTTAAGTACAATTTTTACAATGTGAACATCAGAACTTGGAGAGATCTATAAATTATAAGGCTTTCTCTCCAGAAGTTTTCTAGCTAAACCCCTTTATATGAGTATAATACACATGGCCAACTTTGGCCACAGACCTGCCCATAGGAGGCCTCCAAATATCTGGATGTATCCCAGGTAAGTGGGGCAAAGAAGGTAGGCTAATCAGACAATAGATGAATAATCAGGGAAACAAAAGCCCCTGCTGAGGCTTGCCTATCCAGAATGCTCCCTTAGGCCATCCAGAATGTCCTCTGAGCCTTTTTTAATCCCTTGCCCACCTTAATCTCCCATCTCTTGGCTCTGGTCCAGAAATAAAAAAATCTGTATGTATTTATATTATTTTAACAGATGCTAACTTGTCATCCTTTTATCAGGTTTCCTCATTTTTTCTCTACCATTATGAGTTCATACTTATTTCTTAGACAGATAGAACTTCGTAG